AACAGGACACAGCCTCAGTAGAGCAAAAGACTGAAGAGCTATTTGGTGAAATTTTTAATCAGAGTAAAATTGGTTTCCAGTAGAAGATAAATTCAAAATTTTTCCCAAGGGAAATCAGTGACGTAGACCAGATGTTTTGGCATACAGTCATGTATATCTTTGGACATCTTAAAATTTCAAGTTAGACAGGAGAGAGAGTATCACAACATTGTCAGATAGAGAGTCTTGGTTGACAAAACTCTGCTTACAGCCAACAGAAATCCAACTACATGGTCTGGGGGCATCTCCAAAATAGGAAATCCAAACACTTAGAAAAGGGTTAAATACTAAATAAAAACCAAAAGAACTGCGGATGCTGTAAATCAGGAACAAAAACAAAGTTACTGGATAAGCTCAGCAGGTCTGGCAGCATCTGTGGAGGAGAAAACAAAGTTAATGTTTCAGGCCCGGTGACCCTTCCTCAGAACTCCAAACTTAGAAAAGGGTTATGGACTTCATAAAGTTTCGCTCCTAGGCTGAAGAGCTCATATTGATAACAATCTCATTCAAAAGGTAGAAGACATTAAACAACAAAAGGTGTATAAAAAGCTGACAGAAAATTTCACTAGACTGGTTAAGCCCATGACAGAACCCAAGCAAAAAATACAGGATGTCCTAAGGTTAGTTTTATTGCAATTAAACATTTATTTCCTACCATAAATGAGATGCGCAGAGGTAATTTTAGTGGTTTAGCTGATATGTTTTCCATTGCTTTCAAAACTGAAGAATGTTCAGATTCCAAATTGCAACTAAATTCATAGTTAAGTGCAAACAAAGAGGCAACTTTTACACCACCTGCACAACACAGATCATCAGAAGCATTTGGAGCTAAATGGAGCCAGATTGCAACACAGCACAGTGGACTACCATGTATGATAATGTGAAGTCTGACATTAGGTTGCTGATGTGATTAAGAAGGAACAAGTTCAACCAAAATGTCTGACATCACCGCCTTGCAAAAAAAAAAATCCCCAACAACGAAGGGTATCACATCAAGCAAGAATGAATCTCCCCATAACAGAATTCTGTAAGTGAATTAGCTGGTTTCGTGAATAATTCAGTCACTGAGTGGACAGGAGAAAACTCACAAGTAATGAAGAAGTTGAACTGTTAAGTTCATCTACTTTAGCACATGTCTAGAGGTGGAATGAGAATCAAATTCCACTGACTTAAACTGAAGATGTGGTGCATCCAACTCCATGGAAGATAACCATTAAGAAAGCATTAACAATGACCAAAGATCCAAGTTTTATTTTTAGAAAATGACTGCTACAGCAAGGAACACACTGACAACTGTAAAGTATATAGGAACACTGCTGAAATGTGATGAAAAGTGGAATTTTTTTGAGTGTTTTGTATTTGAATTTCAAAATAGATGCAGACATACGTGGATCAGTTCAGCCAGGTTTTGTGTTTAAAATGGTCAGGAACTCATTTGGACAGTGACCTAAATATATCTATTCCAAGAAAGCATGTGAATGGAGTGAAATACCTAGGAGAATCCCTGCAGTGTTAATGGATAAAATGTTTACCTCCTTGGGTTTATGACAGGCAGAATAAACACATGAAGGCAATTGGTTTAGTTTTGGCTTCAAAACAAAAGATTCAAAGTTTTAGTTCAGAAGAACCCAGAGTCTAAGTCAGAAGACAGGACAGTTTCTCCTAGCAGGTAAATCAAGTCACGTCAGGAGAATCAGTTTGTATCAACGTATTCAAGTTGTTTTATAACTGATTAATGTTTAGGATGTCAGAATTGTGAGAGATTCATGCCAGTGAACCTGGAAACGAATCATAAAAACCAAGTCTTAACAGTCTGAGGGAAGGAAACTGGAAAGTGTCAGTTAAGTAGAGACTTAAAAAACAACTGAGACAGGGGTGTTATTTCTGTAGGATTTGTAGGATTTAGTTTAACAGATGGTGTTGGGAAGCACATTGAAACTTTTATATATGTACATCGTTTCTTTTTGTGAAATAAACTTAAGTTCTGTTGTTAAAGAACATCTGCATCCTCATGTGAATAAGTTTCAGTGATTAATCACCACATTAGCCAACTGTAGATATAAAAAATGAAGACAGGTTTCATTTTTGAATCTGACTTGTCCAATATTACCATCAACTGTGGTCATATCAAGTGTCCTCCACGTAAGAAATATAAGAAATTAAAGTCTTTCCAGTTCAAGAGAGACCACAGACTTGAGACAATCAGAAACAGCAAGTCAATAAGTTACCACTCTTCCGAGTCCAAAGGGAATACATTTTAAAGGCAAAGATGTGGGGAGAGAGATGAGGTGGTGGGTAATGTAAGTATGTAAACAAATGCATATCAATCTCATAACGATATGAACAAATGTTTGAGGGAGTTGTTACAACAGGTTCTAAAACATTCTGTAAGGGTCAGTACTTGGATTGCAGTAACACCATCTACCGTGATGATGTCATGGAGACTTGATGAAAGTAAAGAAGAGATAGAGCTGGGGCCAGTGTGCTGCTAACAGTCTCAGGATGACGTGGAGGTGGCAGTGTTGGACCGAGATGGACAAGGTCAGAAATCACACGACACCAGGTTATAGTCCAACAGGTTTATTTGAAAACACAAGCTTTCGGAGCCTCGCTCCTTCTTCAGGTATTAGTGAGAAAGGTGGCATAACACACTGAATTTATAAGTAAAAGATCAAAGGGTTACACAACTGATGAGGATGTATTAAACAAACCTAAGATGCTGTTAGATCTTTAATCAGATAGAATTGATTAATATGTGTATGTAAATCTCTGAATTCAATTTCAAGTCACTGCCTCAAGAGAACTAAAGGTTTTATCAGTGTAAAGAAGAGGTGTCATTTTAGGTCAAACAATGCATGTTGGGTGTGAGGCCTTGTTTAGAATCAGTTTGTGTTTTGCTTTGGAATCAGACTGATTTTGCTTCTAAAGTAGGATTTTTTAAAACTATCTATAAATTGTGTGCTTTTTGAACAAAATAGAATGTATCTGCAAGTACAAATTCACCCCATAGATTTAAGTGTGTGTGTATGTGTCTGTGTGTGTGTCTGGGAGAAAGAGAGAGTGTGTGTATCTGTGTGTGTATGTGTATCTGTGTGTGTGTGTGTGGGAGAGAGAGAGTGTGTGTGTGTGTGTGGGAGAGAGAGAGTGTGTGTGTGTGTGTAGGAGAGAGAGAGAGAGTGTGTGTGTGTGTGTGAGAGAGAGAGTGTGTGTGTGTGCGCGTGTGTATGTTGGGGGGGGAAGAGAGAATGTGTGTGTGAGAGTGAGGGGAGGAGGAGAGAGAGTGTGTGCGTGTGTGTGCCTGGAGAGAAATGGACAGAGGGTGAATGTGTGTGTGTATGTAGCGGGGGGGAAGAGAGAGAATGAGTGAGGGGGGAGAGAAAGAGTGAGTGTGTGCGAGTGTGTTGGGGGGAGAGAAAGTGTGTGTGTATATGGGGGGGAAGAGAGAGAGGGAGTGAGAGAGTGAGTTGTGTGTGTGAGTGAGGGGGAGAGAGTGTGAGTGTGTGTAATGGTGGGAGAGAGATAAGAGTGAGCATGTGCTTGCGTGTGAGGGGGTGAGAGAGAAAGTGAGTGTGCGCGTGTGTGGGGAGGGGGAGAGAGAGTGTGTGCGTGTGTGTGCCTGGAGAGAAATGGACAGAGGGTGAATGTGTGTGTGTATGTAGCGGGGGGGAAGAGAGAGAATGAGTGAGGGGGGAGAGAAAGAGTGAGTGTGTGCGAGTGTGTTGGGGGGAGAGAAAGTGTGTGTGTGTGGGGGGGGGGGGGGGGGGAGGGAGGGGGGGTGTGTGGGGGGGGTGGCAGAGTGAGTGTGTGCGTGTTGTAAGGGGGGAGACAGAGAGGAAGTGTGGGAGAGACAGTGTGTGTGTTTGTGTGTGTATGTGTGTGTGTGTGGGAGAGAGAGTGTGTATGTGTGTTGGTGAGGAGAGAGAGTGTGTGTGAGAGGTGTGGAGAGAGAGAGAGTGTGTGTGTTGGGAGGGGGAGTGAGAGAGAGGGTGTGTGGGAGTGAGAGAGAGGGTGTGTGGGAGAGAGAGATTGCATGTGTTGGGGGGAGAGAGAGAGTTTATGTGTGTGTGGGAGAGAGGGAGTTTTTGTGTGTGAGGGAGGGTGAGTGTGTGTATGTGAGGGAGAGAGAGTGTGTGTTTGTGTGTGCTTGAGAGACAGTGCGTGTAAGAGAGAGAATCTGTGTGAGAGTGCGTGTGTGTGAGAGAGAGAGTGTATAGTGTGGTGGGGTCGCCTGTAGTGCGACATGAACCCGAGATCCCGACTGAGGCTGTCCTCATGGGTACTGAACTTGTGTATCAGCCTCTGCTGAGTGACCCTGTGTTGTTGTGTATCCCAAATTCCGACTTGGAGGATGTTTACCCAAAGATCCGAGGCTGAATGCCCTTGATCGCTGAAGTGTTTCCCCACTGGGAGGGAACATCCCTGTTTGGCGATTGTTGCGCAGTGTCCATTCATCTGTTATCGTAGCGTCTGCATGGTTTCACCAATATACCATGCCTTGGGGCATCCTTGCCTGCAGCGTATGAGAATAGACAATGACGGCCGAGCTGCATGAATGTCTTCCGTACATGTGGTAGGTGGTGTTCTCATGTGTGATGGTAGTGTCCACGTCAAAGATCTGACCTGTCTTGCAGAGTCTCAGTAGTAATATCGTTCATACTCATATAACCCGAGACTACATCCACACTGTGTCTTAGGACATTGTACCAGCCTTAGCACAGGAGTGTTTTGATCAGTGGCATTTGTACTTCTTTAGGATGGCCACCAAATTATTTACTTCCCACATTCCATATATTAATAAGTTAAATGTTGTTGATAGGTTAAAAGCTTTTTCCTCCAACAGAACAACAATGCAACATTCTTGTTTTCTTCTATGTGTATTTATTTTACATCTACTCAACTGCTATATAATGGACATCTTTGTTTTCAACCTTTATAAGCCCTGGTATATTTTTGTCTTTCAGCAAATTCCCTCTTGAAGTGGTTCTGTGTTTGCTGGGTTCTGTTGTGTGCGATTGCAATGATGACTATATTACATTTATTGAGAATATCCCACCATAATAGGAGTCATCCAGGAGAAAGGGTTTGTGATAAGTAAAAAAATTAACTGTGAACAAATATTATGTTTTGTTATTTCTAGTCCTTCAATTTTGTCACAGATTTTTTGTGAAAGTTTTGTTTTACTGTTTCTCAGGGTACTTTTGACAATGTTGAATTCATGGGTTACACCAGTGGCTACATGTCCTGCATATTTTATCTTGGCTCTCGTTTTCCACAGCTGTACAAAAATGTGAGTAATTTATTGAGCCTTTGCATTTTGGTTTGTAAAAGTTAGGATATTACTGTTCAATATCAGAAAAACAGTGTTTCCTTCCTTTATGTTTCTTCCTGTATTTGTCAACGTAGTGTTGCCAGAGAACACAACGGATATTTACTTATTAGTTCCCTCAAATGAGAAGCATAAGAATTCAAACTACAAACTTGGAATTCGCTAACACAAAAGTAACATCTTTATTGTCCATGCAGTCAGCACTTTATGAATTACAAAGATTTCCATTTATGGACCGAAGAGGACTGAAATCCATGTTACTGTAATTGGTCAAAGATCATTTGTCTTGATCTGACAGGAGATGTTATACAATAATTGATTCTGCAATATGCAAATTTGACTTGCCAGAGGGGTTCAATTGCAACAATTTTAATATTTAATATTTAAAGGAGTCCTTATTTCTGTGTCATTGGCTAGACTACAGGTTCACTGTATTAAACAAAGGCATGGTTTGTATATTCTGATCGTTGCAGTTCCAAAGGAAATCCACAGAAGGTACATCCTATTTGCTGTTTGCACTGGCAATGGTGGGTAATACAACATACGGACTGAGTGTGGCAGTAAAAGTGCCTGAAAATGAAGTATCAGCCAAAAAATACATCCTCCATCATCTGGCCTGGCTAATAGGTAGCTTTGGGGTACTGTTGGTGGATTTCTTTGTATCCTTTTCAATGTTAACTGTTGCAATATACATACAACATTTCTTTTAGTTATATTAGGGGCTAGCTTAAATGGCAATGAGAGAGAAAATCTAATTTTTTTTGGAAGTGTTTTCAATTTTGATTGCCACATGTTCAGTCCATTAAGAAATGTTAAACTTTTTGAAGATTCCAGAGCATTTTAATTCTGAGTCGTGCATTGTTGAAATAGATTTGAAATTTGCACTTATGCAAATAGAATTGCAAAACAATCAGTGAAAGTGATGGAAAATTTAAATGACACAAGAAGTGGGGAATGTTAGAACGTAAAACTACTGAGAAGCAGATGCTGATTTGGGAGTGAAGTTGAGAAAACATCTCTGAAATTCTATCTGCCTACGCTTGTCCAATTACTCAACCTACCTAAATCTGTTGCATGTTACTTCATCGTCCTCATAACATGCTTTCCCATTTAAATTTGCATCCTCAGCAGACAGTGGATACTTTTGTATGTGGTCCCTAATCTAAGTCACTAATCTCAGTTATAAACAGTTTAAGCCCAAACTCTGGTGCTTGCAGTAGCTCACTTGTTAATGTCTCCGAAGCTGATTGTTATCCACTTATTTTGACTGTTTTTTGTTTGTTGATTATTCCTAGATTCAGTATATTTCCCCAATTTGATGAACATTAATTTTATGTTATAACCTCTTATATGGCACCTTATTGAATGTTTTTTGAAAATTTGTATATGTATCTATTAGGTCCCCCTTGTCTACCCTATTAGTTGCAACCTCAAAAAATTCTAACAGATTTGCTAAGCATGATGTCCCTTTCATAAATCCATGTTAACAGTGCCCAGTCATGTTGCAATTTTTAGGTGCACTGATACCAATCCCATCTTTATTTGTTCCCCTACTAATGTTATTAGGCTAACCAATTTATATTTCTGTACTTACCTTCTCCCTCGTCACAACCCCTTGATTCACGATTACAGTCAGAATGTCTTTGTGTCTTTTATGTGAAAGAAAAACACAGAGGGGTTTTGGCTCCCATCTGAAGAGCTGGCAGTACTTTGTGTTGTCTCCTTCTCACAACACCCACTGGTATTAAATGCTAATCAGATAGTTGAGAGGTCACTGGTGGGTCTTCCACTGGTTTCGGACCAAGGGAGTAGGAAGTCCCACTTACTGAGCACTGTCAACCAATTAGAGAGTGTTATTTTGCTCAGCAGCACTGCTGGAGAGGTAGTGGCTGCTGTGGAACAGACACTCACATGGTTTCCAGATCTCCATGGAATCCCTGGATTAGGTTGAGTTGTGATGGGAAATATTTTACTAGATGGGGGTTACAATAGAGAGGATGTAGGGGTGTCAGCAGTATGGGTACAGTGTAGCTGTCAGTGAAGCCCTTACCTCGTGCTGAGTCCCTGGATCAAAGAAACACCTTTAAACAAGGGACCCTCCTCAGAGATCACAAACAGCCCTTTTAACACAAGCCTTGGTAGGATTGGGCATTAATTGTCCACTTAAGGGCCTTAATTAACACGAGGTCAAAATGCATTTATGGGCCTTCTGGCCACAGGCTTGATTGGAAGGGTTGGGGGCTAGCAGGGTCCTCACCTGCCACTGGTCCTCCTAATTAAATAACCTCCTCACTTCCAAATTCATCTTTACACAGATTTAATATTCTTCCCTAAATATTTGTTTAATGAGTAGGATGATCCCAGCCTCTCAACGCCATGTGAAATGACGAGCAAGTTGGGAAAATGCCGCAAGAATGAGAAATTAGGTTCTCAGCATCAAGAAATAAAAGCTCAACATTTCCATTTACGGTTTTAATACCTAGGGTGACATTCTCACAAGCGAGTGGGGACCAATTTGCATGAATTAACATCTCATTCCTGCCTCATCTCACCTCATTTATATGCAAGTTGCTCTATACTCAGGCAAGGGAGAGAAATTAACTGGTGCCAATTCCGACATCAAAGTCAGATTGGTTACATTGTCAGTGTCTCCTCTGAGCCTTCATCTTGCCCATCATTGCCTGATATCTGAAGCATGCTCCATGGAAATGATTACCTGCATCCTCTGACCACAGAGGTTGGCATTGGCAAAGTACCAGCTTCACCACTTCATCATGACTCATCTCAGACAAAAGTATAATACAGGTTCAGTTCCTCCGTACTGCTGTTTGCAGTTCACTGATATCTTGTGTTGCAATGCTGCTGCCAGGCTCTTTGTGCACGGGGAAAGGCAATCATCTCATGCATTAGAACAGAATGTATCATTAGGCTGTTGGCTTGCTTTCTCAGCTCTAACTCACTTTACACCTAACTGGATGCTTACAGCATCTCTGCCTTCCTTTGCCGTTTAGGTACATTATTGCTTCAATTCTGAACTTACAGACTCTCAGCATTTTTGTCATGCCTTGCTTTTTAGAACACGCAGAAGGCCAGGGACCTTGTCATGGCTGTCAGCAATGAACATGGCTGTACGGGATTGTCTCATGGGTGGGACTGAGTTTGTTGCTGGTCTTGGGCAGACCTCTGAGCGTATGTGACCTTGGATGTTTCTTCCTCAGGCAGCAGCAGAGAAATACCAGCGACGTGTTCACCAGAATGTGCTTCTGACTCTAATGTAGTTAAAGTGTCCACCGAGGTGCAAATGTCTGAGCTGGTGGAGGATACAAGGGGTGACCTTTCTGGTGCTTCCTTTGGTGGGTTTGTGGCTGTTCCCTCATAGGGTGGAGGAGGAGCTGTTGCCAGACGGGTTGGTCTCTTGTAAGACATGGCTGTTTTGATGTCACTGGTGCCTGCAGATGATGAAAGGGAATGAGTTAAAGGGGTGGAAGCTTGAGCATGTTAAAGTATGTTTACAGCGGTGGTAATGGAAGATCAAAGCAGCAGATCACATCACATTGAGTATTACTTGGCTGCGAGGACATGGAGGTCTCAGCAAACCCACAGGAGCAGTCTGTATCCTCTCTCACGAGGTCAAGGAACCTCTCCTCATATGGTTGAGGAATGAATGCTAGCCGCTCCATCACCTGTCTGGGCTCGCTCAGCCCTCTTTGACTGTTTTGTCCTGCAATGAGATAAAGGGAGGGATTGAGTGAAAGGGAAATGGCTGGCACAGCTGTTAGTGCTGGTGCAGGAGAGGGATAAGTGGTGAGATGTCCTGAGTGATTGGGTAGGAATTGAAGAGTTAAGGAAAAGTTATAGGTTTGGTGGGGAATGAGGTGGGGGAGAGCTGCTGAGGGAAGATGCTGCGTGCAATATGAGAGCGGTAGACAATGAGCTTTGGCTGGAGGTGGATGGAGTAGTGGAATTAGTGAGTGCGAGATAGCAGAGAAAAGATGGTAGTACTTACTGATACAGAGCACAGAAGGTGTTTTGAGACTAAAAAACTGCAGATGCTGGAAACCAAGGTAGACAAACAGGAGGCTGGAAGAACACAGCAAGCAGGCAGCATCCAGAGGAAAGGAGAAGTCAATGTTTCAGGTATTACCCTTCTTCAGGATTCTGTGGAATTGTCCCTTATCCAAATCTTGGAAAAATTCAACCCAGTGGCTCTGCTGTTTCCTTATTTCCAATTATAATCTCTCCCATGTCTGTCTTTAAGGTACCCACCTTTAATTTTGCTAATCTCTTCCTTTTTACAGATTTTTACAAGCTTAAGCAATCTGTTTTTATATCTCATGCTTGTTCACACTCAAATTTTCCTTCTCGGTTTTCAATTTCTCGGATGTCCTCTCGTCCTTGGGCTTTTTCCCCCCTTTTGATGACATATTAAGCCTCTACTATAATCTAATTCTATCTTTAATTTCTCTTATTGACACGTGTTGGACCATTTCTCCACTGGGGCTTTCATCCCTGAAGAAAACATATAACCATTGCAAATTAAAAATGAATTCTTTAAATATTTGCCATTGGCTATCTACTGTTTTATCTTTTAATCTAGTTTTCCAATCTGTTTTGACTAACTCATACCTGGGTAGTTTGTTCTGTTGCGCTTTATTGCTTTAGTTTCTTATCTAAACCACCCTCAAGCTTGATGAAAAGTTTATAAGAACCCAAGAAATTGTAGCAGTAGTAAACAGCTGGCTATTATTTAACCCCATCTGATTGCATCTAAATTAGTTTGTTCCCTAGTTCGTTGTTGACTCACTAGTTTAGAAAACTAAATTAAATGCATTCCACAGGCTTGTCCATTACACTATTACTGCAGACTTGGTTTTCCTAGTCTGTACAAAAATTCACGTCTCCTGAGATCACTGTTTTACAATTGTTACTTGAGCCTCTAACCTCTTTTATTTATAATCTGCCTTTCGCTACAATACCTTTAGGAGCTTGTAAATTATTCCCACCATTGATTTCTGTCCTTTATTGTCTATTAGTTCCACCCAAAGTGATTTTCCACATTGATTTTTTGGAGTTATTTTCTCCTTTCGTCTTTATCCCATCCTTTACTTTCAGGGTTGTCACTCCTTTATTTCAACGTTACCTGATTCTTCTAAAAGAGCAGGTAACCCACAATATTTATTTAGTGATAATCTCGGTGATTCTTCAACTAGATGGCTGTTAGTTCAAAGTCCTTAATTTCTTTCAGTGCTATTGTGAATAAAATTTGTTTCAATGCTTTACACAGTGAGCTATAATTCCTTTAGCTTTAACTTTTACTCTACATTTTCCTTCAAATGTCTTAATCGCAAATGCTCTAATACTGATTATTTGGCTTGCTGTCTTTTCCTTACCCACTGAGCTTATTTATAGCCAAATTACCACTCTGCTCTACAGTCTTGTCAAATCTCTTGACATTTATGATTTTATCCTTTCCTGAATCCTCCTAACTTTCCCCCTATCCCGGTCTTTCCTTTGTTTAATGTCCTGTTGCCTTAGTTCAATGATTTAACAGGAGACTGGTCCCAGCAATGATTAAATGAAGCCCATACCCATAAGAACAGCTTTCTCTTTCTCCATTTCCAGTGCCCCAGGAATACTTGCCTCTGCCTCCATTTAATCTTCTAATCTATTTATCCCTATGCAAATTTGCACATAGTACAGATATCAATTCAGAGATGATTATCTTTGGGATTATGCATTTTAATTTCAACCGTAACTTCTCAAATTCCTCCCAGTGGCACCTCATTCCAGGTGTACTAATATTGTTAGTTCCTAAATGAACCACAACAAATGGATCCTCCCCTCTCACTGCTAAGTTCTTCTCCATGTGCAAGGAGATATCCATAATCTTAACACTGGACAGGTAACACAACCTTTGCAACTTCAGTCACTGCTATAGAGAACTGTTGCCATCCCTGTGACTACTATCTCTACCTTTGAATCTTTCCTTTCTTCACCTCAGCTTGAATGGCCTCTTGTACCACAGCCATTGTCACTACCTTGCAGACCTTTCCCTCATTCACACAGGCAGAAGGAACCTTGTGTTTGTTTGATAAGGATAAAAGTCACGGTTCCTTCACCACTGTATCTGGACTTCCCTCATCTGCTTGACTCTCAGTCAATGTGCCTGACCACTAGCCAGAATCATACCACTGTCTCACTGAATGTGTGTGATTTGCTTGAATGTCCAGGTAACTTGCCTCCTCTTTGATGTCCCGTGATGTCTGCACATTAGACTCCAGTAAGACAATTCTGAACTGAAACTAATCACAATGTGGAGTTTTATTTCAAAACTTGTCATCTCAGATTGTGCTGCTCTCTGTAATCTCCCAGATGCTGCAACTGTAGCACACCGTGTACCCTAGCATCCTCGTGTAACATTATTTATCATTTCATTAAGGTTTATTGTTTACTCAACATAGCTTACATGTTTTAGTCTTCATACCAATTGCTTGTTCTAATTTATGTAATAGCTAGTTAATATTTACTTTATTTATTAACTTAGCCTGCTGCCCTTTGTTATGCTGTGATCGCATTTAGTGATTTTTCTTCCTTGCTGTCACAGACATATTGTCCTTTTCAAATGCTCCACTCTCCATCTTGGCTATTCCCATGTCATATGCTCTCAGCGTCACATTTTCCCAAATACGGGCAGTCCCTCAATTGTGAATGGGTACCATTCTTGAGTATGTTTACAAGTTGATTTGTATGCAAGTCAGAACACAATGGAAGACAATATAAAATAGCTGTTCGTAAATACAGGAAATGTTCATCAGATCATTAAAATTAATGATAATACATTCCTGTGTGGAATCTCATTCATAAGTACGAGCATTTGTAAATCAGGTGTCCATAAATTGGAGTCACCTATATATATAATATATCCATGTATATTACAATACCCTTTCTTTATACAGATCATGCTTTACCTAGGCCATCATCAACAATCTTGGATAATGACATAACTATACTGGAACTGCTTGACTTTTTGTACATCCCATGTATGACATAATATTAATCACTGCTGGCATAATGAGGAAAATGTAAAATCAAGATGCAATCACTCATGAAAACAGTGAAGTTTAGAATGTATTTTCTGAGCTATTTCATTTCATTCACATTGCTGCTGTGGTCAACATGTTAATTTCTGCAACAAGTTTATATCGTTCTGTGTGGAGTTGTGTTTTACATGTCAAAATAGTGCATAGTTCTGATCATATCTTCACATTATCTGTTTCACAATTTTTTCACCAAGTTTATAGGTTGCTGATCACAGATCTTCCAGTTGTATCCTTAATAAGCATCCTACAGATTACTGCACAGTTTATTAGATATCGCAAACGAAGCAACTTCTCTCTCCGTTCAATTCCAGAGGGGGCACCACTCCTTGATGATGAAGAAGAACAACTGAACAACTTTTTACAATTGCACCAGTTTAAATAAAAGAATTTCTGAATGATTGATTACACATAAATTGCTCTAGAACTTGCCACTATTATTTTAGACTTTAATTGAGAGATAATTTGTTTTAATATTTACATTATCCTAATTTGTAATCCATTATCAGTATTATTAAAAATATTAGATCTCTTTCGTTCAGCGTGCACCTTGTGATGAAGTCAAGTCTCAACCTAATGATCTGTTTGCCAGGACTTTAATGCTTTGCTGACACGATCCCAATTGATCACTTCCAAGCAAAAGGTCAAATGTTTTTTCTGCTCTTGACCATATTCCCACCATCCCCACACCACCCACCCATTAGCACCCCTCCAGCCCCATCCCACCACCCCCATCACCTTCACCATGAGTGAAAAGAAAATTGCCTGAGTATAGGCCCAATATCCCTTCCACTGCCCTGCCTGTCATTTTCGACAAAGCAACTTGCATCTGTCTGTCTGTCAGGCATTGCACTTTTCATTGCAATATCTGCCGCCAGTATAAATGCTTGTTAAATGTTTTATCCTTCTTGCTGATCTATAATAATATGTGATTCAGAAAAACACTCCTGGTATTCAGGTGTACACTGGTAAAGTTAGAACATCCATCAATTTCACAAGATACTGTTTTAAATAGTTAACAGCATTTCTGCAAAGATGGGTGCAGAGAGGAATTAAAACATGTTCATAGAAAACGCTTCAGCTTTGAGAACAAAATACTTAACATTTATCAGTAAATAATGTCAAGGGACATCCTGGGGATCCACACACTATTGCTTGAAAATAGTACCATGACAGATCTGATTTGTCTTTTAAATGATTTCACATTAGTCATTATTATTTAGGACTTTGTTTCTTATAAATTTGTATTCATATGGTCAAGCACCACCCATATTTATGGATTACAAAACTATACCAGCATATAACATACATTATCCATAAACTATACGGCAACTATTAAACCTCCATATGTAGAGGATGACTACATGTGTTCCAGCTGATTGTTAGATTTAAAGTTGTATTTTTAGGTTCTCATTAAGTTTGACATAAATGTCCTCTGCAGTTTACGTTTTGTAGCTGCCTGTCACAATTTATTTATCATTAATTTTTATATTTTGGATGGCAATTCCAAATAATCCAGAATCCATTTCCAGGGAATATTTTCAGCAGATTTAGACATGTCTTGAATGTGTGCTTTGCCACGGGATCATCTAGAATATTAACTGGCTATTTTAATACTCAATCTTAAGTCTTTATTTGACTTTTCTCCATAACATGTTCCAGAATCCAAATGAAACAAGTCATATGCACACCATTCCAAATAAAACTTCTATTTTGAATGTAAAGTGAGTCGAAACCAAAAGTGCCAAAGGCTCCATACCATGACAGATAAACAGCAAAACATATTTTGCACAACTCTCATTATGTTATCCTGAGATGTTTACTTTTACATTGAGACTGCCTATTTAACTGAAAGTTTAAATTCATATGTATATTGCAGGTTCCTGATTTATGGCAAGTTTGCAAGATTATTGTTTATTTGCAGGATCTATCTTCAAATTGGACAATTAAAATTAGCAGCATTCAGTCCATTGCATGTGTGTGGGTTGAATCATATGTTTTTGTTTTGGCTTAGTCCAAGTTGCATTGTATTTTGGAGGATTTCTCACCCTATCTCGTCCAGCACGCCTCATTAATAACCTACCCCGCCTATGGTGCCCCTCACATCCAATTTCCATCCATCTTACCACACACCATTCCAGGAACAACTTGCCACTTAGTGGCTATCATGGAGTTCACTGGCATCCCTTGCACCTACACTGTCTATCAAAGCCTGTTGTGCACTTAAGCAAGTGCAGGCAGTCTGCTGTCCTGCACAGTTGCTGCCATTTACTCTGGACATGGCAGATAGGGATAAATCGGTACCCTGGTGGGCAGGCAGGGTCCTGAAGCACCTGCTGGATGGAGTGATGCCAATGTCAGACATTGTGCTTCCCCCTGGACCATTAGTGGACAACACAAGGTCAGACCATGCCAGACTGCTCCAAGATTGCCATCCACATTAAAGGTGTGTCAACTCATTAGAGAAGTGTCCAGCACTATCGGAGAAAGGTCAATATTCTTCTCCACTCCACCAGGATAAGTTCCACTATCTTCTGTCTATTACCTCACACTACCTCTGCAATTGCGCCCACCAAAGCTCATGCTCTACCACTCATTATTACCTGCAATATGTTTCCTATTTGCTCTCATCCACTTCAACTCCAGATACCACGAATTCTGTATGCCCTCTGCAGTACCTATTCATTTGCTCAGGAAACCTCTTCACTTGTACCAACAGTGATATCTGTGCAACCTACTTTCATTCCCCATAATGCCTGCCTCTTGTTCTAAGAGGAAAACAGTTCAGGATAGTGCAGAGAGGATCAAACAGGTGTGCTGCCTGTTCTTTGGCTTCTCAGCCCTTAGGAAAATATTTTGACTCTGACTACCATGAGGTTGACTTACTGTGCAAGAAATCTCTGAATGAAAGCTATTCCCCGTGACTGAGGCCTGCTGAAAACTATGACAAACTTCATGGTTTTGTGTCTGCACTAAACCGCAGAGCAGCACAGTATCTCTGCAAGAGGAAGCCAAAACTATTCCCTCTGATAGTGAGAGTGAGAATGAGACTCTCTCTTTCTCTCTCTTTCTTTCCATAACCACATATGTTCCAGGACTTTTGATATTTCTCCACCTTTCTGAGAAAACATGCATTGGCCTTAAATCAGCAAGTATTTGAAGCAAAGCATTTTGGGCTAGAATGTAGAGTGTGCTTTTGGGTCATGATGGCTATGGCTCGTGAGTTGCCCAAATTATTGAAATGGCGATGATCAGCACACAAAATAGGTGCTAACTGTCTCCCTTTTACTTGAATACTTAGGTCTAGTGGCTCCCATGCTCCTGGCTGCTACAAAAGGAAATTAAGCACCTTATACCAAGAGCAAAGAACTCTTCTGTTCTTGAGGCAGTCTGCACCCCCCCCCCCCCCCCCCAAAGGGAAACAACACTGAATTAAAGGAGGATGATACAAAATAATATTGCTACAATTGTAAACAAATAAAATGGAATACCAAGGCAGAGCATACTTTAGGACAAGTGAGTCAGAGTTGAAGACCTTAGTACTGGAGCTTGACGGAAAACACGATCCTATGTTTCTGCAGGGCAGCTGGGCATCCTCAGAAGGGATTGGGGACCTAGGGTATCAGTTTCCAGTGTCTGGGCCTGAAGACCCCACAGCAATGTCACTAGAATGTTATTGATCCTCTGTTGGTGATCAGTGTCAGTGAATGTATTTTCATATGTTATCTCCTACTCACTGCTCCAACAATCTTTCTCAATGCTCAAAGCATCACACCCCATAACTCATTCATCAGCACTCCTTGCTGTAGAGGACCCATGCCTAACATAGAGATACTCCCCCTCACCCTCTTAAAACCACCAATGGTGCCTGCCTCACACCCACCTCTCACTGACTCCATAGTTATCCAGCCATTCAGTTGAGGCAGACACATTACCCAACACGGTGCAATACAATCACAGACATTTTGAAGATAGTAGGCACACAATACAAGAGAATATCAGATATTATCAGTCAATGCTGAAGAATTATCCACTTCCTTGATTGCTCCCAAGGCTCAACATCTGGGTTCAAGTAAGCACAGCTGTATCTTCTGACAAACTCATCACTGTTCTCGCTGTCTCCATCACTTACTCCCACTGACTGCTGAGAATCCAACTGTCTTGCCAGTCCCATTGAGAAGTGTAATGAACTAGAGGAAAGTGTGGTGCATACTTGGAGTGCATCTCCTCAGGGAAGACTTCACCTTCCTTCTTGCTGCCTCTGTGGGAAGTGAAAGACATATCAAAGTAAGAAAATGCTGAGCCATCCTTGTTCAAATGAACATCTTTCAGTTGTGGCTCCACATTCCTGCAGCTGACTTCCTCAGTGATTTTCTGATCATGCCTCCTTGTTCCCTGGGTAAGCTTCTTCCCACTGTCAGCTGGGAATTCATTGGGCTAACTTTCACTTAAAGTCATCTGGGAGGCAATTTCGGGGTGCTTCATGCAGCATTTCTCTCTGTGAGCTCTAATGATTTATCTCACACAATTCTCCACTACTCATCTCATTATATATACATTTGTGATTCTGCAGGGACACGCTTGTGCCATGGTATGCTCACCTGTAAAAGTACCCACCACCAACAGCACCTCTAGCATTTCTGCCAATGTCATATTTAACGCCCAGCCATGCATCAGGTCAATCATGGTCAGCCATAAATAGCCCATTCACAATGCTGAAGGAGGAGAGAAAGGAAACTGAGCAATGTCTGGGGGCACATGGCATGGACGATTCTTCATTGGAAATAAAATATCACTCGCATAAATGTATTGCTGCTTTATAACATCACCTGCCTGGTTTACTGCCATCATAACAGCAATGACATGTACCTAGTTATAAAGGCTCCCTGTTCTTAGCACCATGCCATGTTAGAACCCTGTTCAAGGGAGCCTTACTCTTTCCTTAATACCGAGCATCATGTTTTGTAAAACATTTAACCATTGAAAACATGACTTTTTAATGAACAACAAGAAAATCAAACCTAAAAAGAATTGACATTTGCTTCTGTGAAAGGGATAGGGATCAAGGCAGCTCCCAGGGTACTTGGCACAGACTTCTAAGATGTGGTACCAATAATCACAGATGACTTGTACATTCATTGAGTTGATGAAGTCATGTTATGTTATGGTGCTCTCGACAAGATGTTAATATAGTCCATAGTCCTCTATACCTGGGCATTGTTGGCAAAGTCTGCTGTTCAGGCTGCAGCACTGAATATGTTATAGAAACAAGATGAAACAATCTAATCTGGCTTCTTCACCAGTAATAGTCTTAATACTTTTGAGGTTTGAGAGATCTCACACAGGTCTGAGTGGAAGCAGCCAGTTGCATAAAAGTTTAGGGCAGATGTCACCAGGCTAGGATGGCTAGCCCACCTTCAGGTTACAGATCCAGCTCCAGGAGTTCACACTGTTCTATGATGGCATCCTGAAATATCCTTAGTCTGTGACAGCAATGTGCCTTGCTTTTCGTGTGGAAGTAGCATTGAGAAAAATAGTCTCTGGGCGTCTTGTACCTTTGCATCCTGATAGAACCTGCAACAACCTGCATGTGGAGCTGCTCAGCAGTCACCAGAGATTGCTGCTAGTCCTGGGCTTGCTGGCACATTTGTTCCAATTCAGTTTCTCTCTGACTTCACTGCACCAAGGCCAGAGTGACATTAACCTCTTCTGTTGTTTGATCCACTGGTGACAGATCCAATGAATCTGTATGAGGGTTATTAGGTACAGAACAGTTCCTTAGTAGTGTGAGC